GACCTTCTTGACTTTTCAAGACTCAGAACATGCCCCCACTTCCAACTCCCTCTTACACACCAGATCTCTCTCCGCTCACAATCAATGATGAGCATCGTTCTCTTGAAGTACGAATGATATACCATCATCTTCAGCTCCGTGTTCTTCGAATTCTAGCCAAGAACTACCCGGAGACTCCACCCGAATATACTTCAGCACAATACCGATTCAATGATTCATTCAACAGTGGTGCTAAAATATTTCATGTCTATGTCGACAAACCCGTAACACAGGACGGGGTTACCCTCTACCCAATTCGTCAATTAAATGGTGGACTTCTCTACCGCGGATCTTTTATCCAATGTTCTGGACATATCATTGGAAGAATCCAACCCATCCCGTATCGAATTTTATAGCCGCGAAGAAAATTACACCGTGCTACGCTGCACCTCATCGTCATACCAAGAGTACAACATCATTGTTAACTACCGGGATATATATTGGACTATGCAAGCGTTGCGACTCACTCGTGAGCATAATTTTAATATTTGCCCGCTAAATCAAATATTCACAAACGAATAAGCTGTACCGGCTGAAACTAGATCAAGATCCACCCAACGACGAGACAGAATAGCAGTGAAGGCCTTTTCAGGGGAGCGAAATTTTATTATCCATGACCCCGAAAATCCAAGAGGAGAAAAGAGTAAAAGGAAATATAGATATGCACCCTATGGCTCCATCCTGTAACATGTCGAATTTGCACCAGAAATATTGAAGAATCAACCGAGGACGGTTGAAATATGTTCCCCGCGGATGTCAGCTTCCCATCAAGATGTGAGCTGAACATAGACTAAATTAAACAAATTCGTACATTAACAAAGAGACTAATGAATCAACTGGAAGAGGAATACCAAAGTACATTTGATTAGTCAAGAAGCCTCATGATGAGTCAATTCAAGTCAGTTTAATTTTCAGCTATAATGATTTGAAATGACTCCTAATGACTTTAATCGACTCTTAATGATTCCAACTGACTCATAATGACTCAAATGATTCAAATGGAATCATATGGACTCAAATTTACTCAGAAGTAGCCAAACGTAGCCATACAACTTTTTGTGTATATAAGGAGCTCAGTAGTCACTTCCAAATTAATCTTCTTAGTGCCCATTTTCGATCTGAATTAAATATTCCTTTCAGGAATATTTCTTTAAGTGACTAAGCCTTAAGTTGCTTCATCAAGAGAACACTGAAGTGAACAACGAAGAGAACACTGAAGAGAACACCGAAGAGAACACTGAAGAGAACACCGAAGAGAACACTGAAGAGAACATCGACCCACACGTTTATCAAGTCGAGCTACCTACCAATCAAAGCTACCTACCAACCCAAGCTACCTACTGAGAACACTGACTACGGGATTCATACTCTGAACACTGACTACAGGTTACATATCTGAACATTGACTACGTGATTCTTAATTGATCACATCACACCTGGGATACCAAATCGAACTACGTACGTGATATTCATTTGAATTTTATACTGACCTTACATCGAGAGATTAAATATATCTCAAGTGTACCTTGACTCAACTACATCTACTTATAGTTATAGGTAGTGATCAACTCTTGTATAGTACAATTCAATTGACTTGTGTAACTACATCGTTCCCGGCCGAACTTAAATATTCTTTTTGAGTGTTCTTGAATTAAGTTTCTTGAACCAACTCACAGCCAAATTTACTTTAGGCTGACACTCTGCACATTCCCTGCGCAGACCATGGCCGTCTCAAGTACGACCCCAACCTTGAGCGTGTTCGTTGGGACGTGGATTTCATCATAGCTATCGTTACCGAGACCACGACGAGAATCATAGCCGACAAGCTCCGCAGAGGCGAGCCCATCAACTGGATCAATGCACCTGCTGTCAAGGCTTTCCTCGCAGATATCCGGCAGGTATGCGAGTCTCGTTTGCTGGCCAACGGAGTTACAGAGGCTCTGGCACGAGCGAAAAGTGTGGCGAGGAAGAAGGAGCTCACGCTCACCTTCTTGCGCTCTTTGCGATCCTCCCAGCGTGCGCACAAAGAGTGGAAGACCTCCTCCCCCGACTCCAGTACGTACCACAGGCGTGAAGGCATGCGGGCAGCAGAGCACGGTGAACCACGGGAGCGCCAACTCGCCCAGATTTTAGAGCGAGCAAAAGAGCTGAACTCATTCGATTTACCGCCTGACCCTGGCCACCTCGCTCCATTTGCTCACCCCATCCTCGGCGAGTCGTTCCTCCATTGGTTCAGGAGTCTTGCCCCAGGCACGGACATCGTGTACGCCGCCAATGCCCTCGGCCGCTCGCAGGAGAAGAGCGATTCGGCAAGAGCCAACCAGCTTGCTCTTGGAGTTTGGCGAAGTACACACGAGGTGCCCGTCTATGTCGATACCATTGCAATTCAGAAAAAGAATCTCCGCGAGGCTCTCGACAACACAGCTCACCAAAAAGCCATCATCATCGAGGAAATATCCATTAGCTGGAGGAAGGGCTTGTGTTATACCTGCGGAGAGTCCGTCATCGGGCACCACAATGGCGCGTATCATTCTTGCAACGGCGATGAACGGGTAGAAATCACTGGCAATAATTTCTCTTCCCTCGAGCGGATTCTTCACCCCCACGACATTCTTCACGATGCCGATTTTGTCGACGTGCTGGGCAGTATAGACGACGTTCTTGTCGAATTAGACATGCAGTCGGTGCCGGTGCAGCGCATCGTCGAGTCTGCCTTTGGCAAAAAGGCCCTCAAGGACTTGTTGAGGCCTGCGGATCTCGCCGCCTTCCACGCGTTGCCCCCCTCCACATCGATGGCATATATCGCTCAAAGCCGCCTCCAGGATCCAGATCATCTACTCACGATCGCTTTCGACATCGTCTTATCCGAAAGCTCAACCTGCCTGGCGCAGTTTCTACCCATTAACTTTGACGACCGGCTGGCCTGGTCTCGGGATCAGTCGCAGCTGTTGACTAAGTGGTTCCGAGGTCTGTTTTTTTGTTGTACGGTGAATCGTGCGCTGACGAATGAACTGCCATCAGGGGAAACAAAACTTTACATGGCCGTCTGCTACGGGCCGGACCCGTCGACCCCCAAGCAGCACTTCTTCCTCAGTGATAACGTTAAGGAGTGTGAAAGGGGTGCGCGGAAGGGCAGCCTGATTGTGGATGGAGGACGCTTCTGCAAAGCATGCGGCACCAAGAAATGCGAGCAACGCGTATTCTTCCCCGTCAATTCGCTTTTCGACCTGCCTCCACATCACTGTCGGGCAGTTTGGAATTCACTCCGGTTCGAGGTCAGCAGACCTGTCATTCGAGAAACCAAAAAGCGAAAGGAGTGAGTTCATGAACAAGCTTCATTCTCGTGTTGCTTATTTTGCATGGTTTGCAGAAAACGATAAATGGGGGTTGTAGTGTATTTTCTATTGTACGCCTTTCAACAAACAAGGTAGATAATTGATTCATAAGATGCGTCGTGAATATCAAATCACATCAATGAGTCGCTGCAAAGAAATCGAGCACTTTTTGTTGATGAACCAGACCTATATCTTGTTGACGACAGTGCCACTCTTCGGAGTCGCTGGGGCAGAACTTTGCCAGCTGCAGCCTCCGTCGCCCCGGCATGCTAACATCACCAAATAACCGCTTCTTGACAGTGACTTCGCCTCCGCTTCTTCAATACCCCCGTCTTCATCTACCGCCTCCGCAACACACCGCACTCCCTGCCTCGCACATTCAGAGTCCGAATTTCCGCCTCCAGCGGTCCGTCGCCGTATCACCTGAACGTCCGCCTCTCGTTCCCCCCTTTCGCCAAACGGCCTCGAACCCCATCCGAACCTTGTTTCGCGCTCCGTGCTTTGCCTGATCGCCACTTCTCGCCCGACCGGAGAAGGACGCAGCTCTACAGCTCTAGCCTTGGATACCGAGCCCGTGTGCTGGATCGTCACACCGCCCTCGTCGCGGCTCGAACCCTATTTGCTCGCCTCTACCAGCTTCTGGCGCTCATCACGCTTGCGCCTGCCGCGCCCGCCTCTTTCCTCCGACTTTACCTGTTCTGTGTCGCTTCGCCTTCGCCAACGGTACTTCATACCTTGGTGCACTTTCTTTCTTGCATGCCGATCATGCCGCCTCTCCGCTGATCTTTACCCACGTCTTCACGCTCCTTGGCATCGTCTACGATATCACACACCCTGGCCTTTCCTTTCCTTTCCTCTCGTTTTCGCTCCCTCGACGCGTTTCTCCTGCTTCAGCCACGATCTCATCCGTTCTCCGCTTCCACCCACCTTAGGCCTGCATCTACTACCAGCTGCATCCGCTTCTTTGACCCGTCTTGTCGCTTCACTTTTTTTTTTTCAAGGCATCGTATACGCCTTATTATCCCTTTCTTCTCCCGCTCCTTCGCTCCCTCCGTGTCCGCCCCCCCTTTCGCCGCTCCGTTGTTCCTCATTCCCCTTATCGCCACACGTACCTTCTTGCATTTACCACGTCGATGTACCCTACCTTTCTTGCCCGCCTCCCGCCGCTTACTCACGCTTCAATACATGCTATTCTGGCAATATCAGTTGCGAAAACTGTTCACTCTTGCGCTACGCTCCGTCGCCGCTCGCTCCCGTTCTTTCCCTTTCCTCTTCTTCTTCTCCGTACCTCCTCTCTCCGCCGATGCAAACGGGTATTGGCCCTCGATGTTGTTTCAGCACTGTCGATACATCGTACCATCTGTAGCTTGGGCTTCATGTCAATGCAAATTGATTGTTTTTTACCCCCCGCTTGCATGTAAATAAGTCGCCAAAGGTTCTCCCCAAGTTTCCCTGAGTCTCTCTGACTCTTTCTCCTTCCTTCCTATTTCGAATTATTTTTCCTTTTTTGTCCCATTTGATACCCACCATATTGAAATAAAAACCCTTAAAAGTACACAAAAATCACCATAAATTACACAGTGTGCCAGAATCTCCTACTCTCCTCCTTTACTCTCCTCCTTCCACGCCCGCCTAGCTCAATCGGATAGAGCGTCAGACTTTTAGGGAGTCTGTTTAGGTGGACACTTCAATCTGAAGGCTGCGGGTTCGACCCCCGCGGTGGGCTAATGTTCTTTTTTTATTTTTATTTTCTTCTTCCAGTTTTCACCTGGTTTTCGCCATTTCTTTTTCAAACAGGAGAGCCTGTCAGTAAAACAAGCGTGGGCCATTCAAGAATGTTTAACCCGACGAGGAGTAGACCAGTCGATCTGGGTTCAGGAGCCCTGATCAGTCACGTTTTGATCTCATAAAAATCATCGAAAAGCGCGAACCCGATAACAACGATGCAAGAAAAATATAATTAGCACCTAAACGACCTTCAATGGTCTCAAAGACTCAATTAGCGCCTGACATTCAGCCCATTAACTGGTCTTAAACCCAGATCGACCGGTCTCTCTATGAACGATTGTCTTCATACGAGAGATCGGTTAACAGTCTAACGAGGAAGAACGTCGAGAGCACTGCATGTAGCAATCTATCGGAATGGAGCTGCACTCAAAGTACGCTCGCGCGAGGGTGAGAAATCGGATTCGGTGAAGACACAGATCATGATGCCACGAAATGCAAGTACTTCATACTCCGACTCGTAAGTTCGAGGAAGGGTGACACGTCAGGGGGCATAATTATGGCGGTTTGAGAGAATGCCCGACGCCTGATGCGAGGCGCTCTTCGGCGTGAGTGACGCCCAAGATCGCCCACTGGCAAGTGTCCTCTCCGTCAAGAATCCTCGTCATTTTACCGATGTGAGAACTTGGACATTCGCCAGAGTGACCAGCGCGGACGTCTAGATAGCACGAATCTCTTCGGGAAGCGCGTATGGGTTGTCCTGACTCGAAGTTGTTTACTGCAGTGTCCACCACTCAGGCCAGACTAAGGTAAACTTGTGTGATTGAGCTAGGCGGGCGATATTCACCTCCATAATTATTAAATCATCTCCACAAAAGGTCAGTGTTGCTGCCAGAGCCCTCCAGTGTCCAATTTGCAAGGAGACGGCCGAGAAGAGACTCGGCGAAGGTGTTGTGACTCTAAATGGACTTGACACTAAAACCCTCCGTTAGGAGGAGTGCGAGTGTTGACGCGTGGTCGGTCAAAGCGACATATTTTGACGGCCTGAAGCCGCATCATGAGTTGAGGCGATACGGCGTTACATAATGGCTGCAGCAAGTCTACTACTTTGCTCGCATTGCTAGCTTGTGACTCTCAACAAAAATCTCCCTTACCCACACGTGTACTCGAAACGCTTGTTAGATGGTATCCCGTCAGGCTCTTCCATCATCGAGTCAGCTATGAATGCGAGAAACTTAGGATATGGGAACAAAGTTGACAAATGGCTATTTTTACAACATAACTTGACGCCATACAGGTCATCTATGTCAATGCCGCAGCAGTTATGAGGCCCCCGCTGCGCCATCCATTCCGCAGTATGTGGAAAGGGTGGTCCGCAGCTGCTGCGGGCGGAAGACTTGAATATGTTGTGGGCGCTTGTGAGGAAGTCGGACGCCGCAACAAAGATGGTGACGAAACCCTCCGTTAGGAGGAATGCAGCGAGGCTAGTCTCGTAAACCCCTTTATATGACGGACAATCGACACACAAGTATATAAACAGCGAGGCCAGGATCTGGCACTAAAAGTATGATCGTTCGTGAGAGGAGACTATTATAGGTAGCTCATAACTATAGGACTGCAGTAGAGGCAACAGCACTTCACGTCTGAACACGACGCAGCACGTAGGTCGACCACGTTGACGATCGATGAACGAGAGTGTCGCACGAAAACCTGACCGTTAAATACACGGCTCACCCCCAAAACAAGAACAGAGTTGCATTATTAGACTGTTCTTACCTCGATCCCCCACTGTGAGGCTGCCAGGAAAAGCTCGAAAGCGTCCAGTGCTGCAGTTGAGAAAGAGAAGAAAAGGCACGACGGCAACCGGAAGCGCCCAAAAAGGAGATTGAAACAGTTGATGCGCAGTGTATGCTGTGCACGACTCCTTGTCTTCACCCTCAACATTGACTCGACGCCGAATTAACCCAGCACCATGTCCGCTCCCCTGGCCACGCCTTATCCGCCCGATGCAGTCTTTGACGACTTTGCAGCGGATTACAACAAGGGTCTCGATTTCTTGTCATTTCGTCCAGAGTCAGACATTATTGCACCCCATCCCGATGATTTCGAGCTCGAACTGGACACCAATCTCGCCGAGTTCGATGAGAACCAGCTTCAGCTGCTCACAATCGACTCCCACGACGCATACTCGTTCCTCAGGTCGGACACGCCTACTCGAGGCCCCCCATCCAACATAACCGCCTCGTCCGAATCGGCTTATGATTCCATTTCATCCTACTCCGAGTCTTTCTATAACTACCCTAATTCGCCGCACCCTCCTTCCAACTACTCCTTCCCTTTGGACCTGGAAATGGACTTCAGTCGCATCCGGGTTGATGCTGCGTCAGAATACGCAGCAGCGCAAGCCGCCTCTGATGCCGCAGCAGATCGCATGTCCTTTGGTGCCACCCCGGCGCCTGACACTTCCCGCAGCAACAAGCTTTATACAAAAGCGTACGATTCCCGTACCAGCTTTTCAGACTACGGCCCCTCCAGAAGAACAGCAACAGACTTGTTCGACCAACTCAGTCAACTCAGTTACAATAACCAGCCCGTGGTTGGCTCTACTGTCTCTCCCTCCCACATTTCCTCCCAGTTGCCCGCTGTATCCTCTGCCCACATGGCCCACGCTCAGGAGCCCGAAGACGACTACAAGGGCGATGCCCGCAAAAAGTACAAATGTCACGCGTGCCCTCGAGGTAATTCATATACTCTCCTTCATCTCATCTGATACTGACTATCCCCTGAAGCATTCGCTAGGGCGTACAATCTTAAAACGCATATGGCTACCCACGACCCTAACAGACTCAAACCCCATGTCTGCCCCCATCGTTCGTGCGGACGCTCCTTTAGTCGCAAGCACGACCTTGGACGTCATCTCATCAGTATACACCGCGACGAGTCTGGACGCGAGGAGTCTGTGTGCTCCTCTCACCATTCCGTCGCGTCGTCAAAGAAATCCATTGGTGTCGAGCAAGGCTCTCGGTCCTGGTGCGACCGCTGCGGAAAGGGCTTGGTTGGCCCCGCAGCAGAGTGCGAGTGCGTATAGATGATTCATCTCTTCCTATTACTTCTTTTCGTGTGAGTTGTCTATCCACTGGTCGTATATTCCGCAGTTTACTGATTATCTGTGCAGGCTTATGTCACTCTTCCGCGGCTCCGCAGTTTCTGGCCGCGAATGCTTGCCCAGATTCCGTGGCCCTCCCTGCGTCATTCGACGTATCACGTATCGTACCGTCTCGTACCTTGTGTGCTTGACCCCGCGACGAACGTGATCTCGATATGAATTTTCTTCTCGCAAGCGCTCATTGCGTTTGTAATACTTTTATTTTTTAACAAATTTCCCCTACTTCTTATTCAACTATCATCCCTGGAACCGTATGTACACTACCTAGCTATAAGTAATAAATGCAAATTTCAACGACCTTGGTGTCGTTCTGGTGTCAATCCTTTCTCGCTCATGTCACAAGGCGTCACATGAACCACAAGCAAAACCATGGACTTGAGTGATTTACACCCTCCAGACGATTACAGCCATAGGTTTTTCATCTGGCATGAATGGATTCAAGTGGCTTCATTTCTCCCGGCCGTCATCGACTCGTTCTGATTTGCAATGGTTCCCAGGCGAACGGGCCACTCACTGCCGAAAATGTCTTCGACTACTTTACGACGTCCATGTTCTATGACAAGCAAAGCAACAATCAGGTTCTGCGTATGCAGACAATGCACACTGGAACACCTATTCTCAACGAGACTGAGGAACTGAGGCAGGTTTTCTGATCGCCCAAGCATCAGCAAGAATAAACGACGCGCATGCAGACGTTTCACTGGAGTCGAGTTCGCCGTAGTACACGCCCAACCTCCGTCAATGTTCATCATTCACAAGCGTGAACGGCTTTCGCCTGATCAAGGTCTGTCTAACTATCCGCTCAGGCGCACGCGCCCGTCTAATATTCAAGTAGTACGCCCCATGTCGGCGTATTTTATCATGAACAACAGGATTTATCAGTCTCCAGATGTCTACACAGTGCTTTCAAATCGACTTGTAAGACCCGTTCCCCGCTTAAAATGTGCTTAGACAAACACTCTGATAGTTGACATCGCTCTTCTCCCTTCAATCGTCATTGGACACCTTGCGAAGTCGACGCCCTGACTACATACCGCGAACAGGATTCGTGTGGCCTATTGTAGATACTTCCCTTGCCGATGATTCGAAGAAGAAAATTACTGGCGACGAAAGCATCGGGACCGAAAGTCGAGCTGTGTCTGAAGCTCCGGAAGCCAAGCCCAAGGTCCCTCAGAGGTTTGTTGCTTTCTTTTGCGAAGCTTCCGACTAAGCAGTCTGTAGACAGCAAAATAGTTTACTGCTCATGAACGCCATGCGCGCTACGGCGTTGCACTCTAAAACAGCTTTCTCGGTAACTAGTGTAGAAACGAACACTGAAAGCGTACCGGAGTCCCCGGCAACACAAGCAGCGCGGAAATCCGCCACTCCCGCTCCCGCTCCCGCGGCAACAAGGACGCCTACCACAGCTCAGGTGCCTCAAGAATCACCGTCTCGGGCGCTCCCTGGAGCAGGAAAGAAGAAACGCAAACGTTTGTTTGTTTGCTATTTCTGCATGCTCAGCATTGAATCGTTTTGCACAGGAACCATTGTGGCCACATGAATTTAACATATATTAGTATTACTGCGTGATTGTCTACGTTGCAGCTAGTTGTTCACGCGCGGGAGTCTCTATGTCCCAAATCATCTTGCCCCTACCCCCGTAATTTTTCCTGTTAGCCAACCCAAAGGAGATTTCAAGTTCCCTCCTCCTCGAGAACCATTGACACCTCCCATGCCGATGCCCAATGAAAGGGGATTCGCAGACGCAAAGGATTCCTTTCGTTGCTTGGCCGCCGTTTGTACTGAAGCAAGTATCAGATATGAACATGTCATTCTGGCGGAAATGTAATAAATAC